TACAGAGTTCTTCAAGGCTTTAACAAGTCTCTTTTGCAAATCCAATAGGAAAAAATTATCTAGGTCACTCTCTTGGTTTATCATTGTATTTCTCTTTTAAATTTTAAAACCTCAGACAGTTTCTTTTGTAGATCTAGTGAAACATCCTTTTTTAAATCATTCTCTTGGCCTGCAGTTGTAAATCTACTTTCAATATCATTTATTTGTCAGATAAAATTTATTCTACATCTGTCATTTCTTCAGTAACAACTTTTGGACATAGTGTGAAGCCATAACTTCTATCAGTTATGGAAGTGCAAGACACGGGCTGTGGTCAAAAAAGGCAACATGGTGTTTGTGATGATGTGATCAAAGCACTGCCTGTTTCTTAGTGCAACACACATAAAAACCAGGCAGAGCTTTGATTGTACCATTATGATGTTATCTTACTTTTTTGACCACAGCTTGTGGTCCACCCTCACAAGACACAATATAATGGTCTTTTTGACCGTAAGAACACATTGACAATGGAGCCAAATACCTAAGTTGTGAAGGCTCATTTTTGTTGAATATGCTCAATAGTGGCTTATTCTTTTGAAGGCTTTTATCTGGAAAAGTAGCCTAGAAATCTTATCTCCTAAAGGGGACATATTTACAAAGAAATTTCATGTAATGTTTCATGCTGGAATATTGTGTTTTCTTCTGGCCTTCATCCCTAGGAAAACTGTAAGGAAAAAGAAAAGTTATTAGAAGAGCAAAACGAAAATGTGGTCAAGATGGTATTTGGTCACCATGATAAAAAGGCACAGAATTTTGAAGAAGCAAAGAACACAAAAATGGAATATCTTTATGAACAGATGGTTAATTTTCAAGACTATATTGATACAGCAAAGGAGACACTAGAAATGATAATAAATGAAACTGAAGAAATTGATGATTTTGCTTTCCTAAAGGTAAGTATATTACGCTCCCAAAGTTTGGGATCACGGAAAAAATAACTCTATTATTGATATTCTTTGTTATATAGCTCTTCATGGAAGCAGATTACCTTTTCAGCAGGCTCATGATTGGGACAGAACTTCAAGGCTTCAGTTCTATACATTAAATGAGAAATCAGTCCCACTGAAGTCAAGGGTGCTTATTTTTGAAATCATACACATAGGATTTTGCCATGAGACAGCCTTTTCCAGCTTAGTCCTCTTCAGATGTGCAGGAGTGACAACCCCTAGAATTCCCAGTCCTGCCAAAGGCATCAAATTAAGAAAAGCTTGTAATACAGTCTCCATTTCTATAGCCTTTTCCTGAGTTTCTTTTCTGTTGTTCTTGCAGACTTCCTAAAAGCACTTGGTGGGACCATCCTGGGCTTGATTTCAGAATCGGTTAAGGGCAGACACTTTCTGAAAGTCCCTATGCTTATTTTCTTTGTAATCTGATATAGCTCAGGCTGCAAAAATTCAGACAACCACTGGATGACAACAAAGTGTTTTTCTGACTCATTGTTGCTGTCCAAATTTTTGCAGCGAGCTTGTGGTAACCATACCTTTATTAATCTGGTTACAGCATACTGTAGAGTATGCCAGCATCCGAGGTTGGTGCCATGTTTAAAGAAGCTCTGTGCAATATGCCTTTTTAGGACTATTGTATCTTAATTAGTAATTTCCTCCTTATTCCTTTGTATACAATTACCCCTATATATTTTTTTTTCTATTTTTTTTAGTAGCTGCACCATTCCTGAATGTACCCTTTTGGCAATTGTGACTGTAAAAAATCTTGAGGAGCAGTTGGCATACTTGTAAAGGAAAACCAATCAGTTACCTTCCCTGTCCTAAAAAGCAGAAAGTATTGACCAATTAAGCATCAGTTCAGAACTATAGTAGCTCTTCCAGCGAGTAAAGAGTAAATAATTATAGTGGCGTAAATTTTTTAGAAGGAAAGGCTGCAAATTAAAGGAAAGCTGACAGGGAGAAATTAGATTTTTGCTGCAATTGGGCTTATGTCTGAGGAATCATATCTTGGTATATTACTCATCTGAATCAGCATAATCAGATTATACATGACAAATACAGTGTGATATCAGGGCAGGTTGGATCAATGCCTCAGTAACTCAAAAACAAAACCATACAGTGTAAGAAACCATAAGACTCACTGGGCTCTCCTCTAAAAATCTCATAATTGTTATGAATTTTCTTCCTCAGGGAAGTCAAGCAAATTAATATCATGGATAAACCAAGGGGATTTTGTGACTCACCTCAGTAAGGTCGTCTTTTTATGAGCCAGTACAGAATCACTTTCTGCCCTCCAGAAATGGTTGCAGCTCCTTCTAGCCATAGGGCAACCAGGCAGTGGGGTTAAAACCGAAATGATCAGCCGTTAGGTGATTTAGGTTTGCAATGTTAAATACTTAACTTTCTTGCTCTAAATGGTTACCACTCACTGAAAGCACATATGTAACCACTTGGTCACAGCAACAGCAGCAGCAACAACAATGTTCCAAAACTCTAGGCAAGTTAAGATGCACATTTCCCAGACAAAGAAGGAGCTGTTTTCTCCAACTTGGCATCTGTTTAGCTACAACTCCCAGAATTCCCAGCCACCATTGTAGTCCAACATAATTGGAGATCATCAGGTTGGGAAGCATGATCTAGATCTATGCTCTTGTAATGTATATAATTAAAAGTAAAATGAAATACATTCAAGTTGAAGGCTGAAGGATGTGTGGGTGGAATCTTCTTAATATAGAATACTGCAACTTAAGTTTGCCAAGGCTCAACTGTTGCTGGTAGTGATGATTCAGTTCAGATCCCTGTATGAATTACCCCAATACTGTTTCTCCTTCAGTTTTGCAACCTTGGAGCTCAAGTACTGGTAGAAATATACAGAATTCCTAAAAAGTTGGAAACCCTGCTCTGGTACAACATGTGGAGTGCATCAGTAAACAAAATCTTGCATGTTTTATATGCAGTATGTTGAATAACATGAATCAATTAATCCCTTTCTTCCCTCTTTTAGTCATCTGAAGAAATAAATAAAAGGTATCTGAAATGTAGCTTTGATGCATTGTGGTGAGAATTAGGATGAGCATGTTTTAATACTTTAATCCTGTCAAGGTCTGTTGGAGGCATGTTGCCAGTATAAATATCTCATTTTAGAAATGTCTTGAAGAAACAAAGAAAATGGTGTGCTTGGCAGTGAAGCTCAAGAGTTGGACATATTCTGCATGAATTTTATAATTCATCTTTTAAATACTAATAAATAAGGCATGATGCAATTCCATTTCTTTTTCAATAGCATCTGCAGAGCATTTCAAAGCTGGTATTTATTGAGGTTATATAAAATGTATTTTAAAATTCCAGTTGCATTCTGCAAAATGTCAATATTCATGAGCATTCAGGTTTTGTTGATTTACTTTCCATATTAGATGAAACGTTAATGAAAGTGATCCTGAATGCTAGTTTGGTTAAATAATTAAATTTAGACCAGTGAAAGCTCCAATCCCAATTAAGCTTTGATTTGTCCTGTTATTTCTGTTTCCTGTATCAGAATAATTAGGAATAAGTTACATATAATTTAAGGTTGTTTTTATAAGGACTCTCCCAACAATTAATTTTAATCCAAGGACTATTTTATTTGCCTTTCCAGAAGATCTAGAAATAGATTTTTTAGAAAATGGAAAGGGGATCTGAAAATGCCAACATCAATCCCAATGTAGCTGTATGGACCAATTTGGACCTATTGCTGCTTTTCAGCCAAGAAACCTTGCAAATTTTTGAAGTGCTAGAAAACCTAACAACAACAACAAAACAGATATGATAGTGGGATTGGTGGGGGTGGGGTAGAGAGAAATATGTATGTATGTATGTATGTATGTATGTATATAAGTATCCCTCACAGAGAGGGATCTAAAGGAATTGTGCCATGGATTCTGTTAGAAATGAATTTGGGTGTTCTGCTCACCCTAGATTTCACAGTTCAACAAACTATCAGTATTCAACCTTCTCCTATAAAAGGTTTCTGGAAGAAAGATAACCTATTGAATATTACATGCAACCATCAGGTAGTGTGTTTTTAAAAAGAAGTACTAAAATAGTGAAATTTGCATTTGAAAAGACAGCATCCAGGAGATTTAAATGGCAAAGAACACTTAACACTGAGCATTTAAAATAAGGTCCTTGGCCAACTTACATTAAGAATGACATAAATTAGGGGAACACACCCTCTGTATGTTGAAGGTATTACAATTGTTAAGAAACTGCCTGTGATTTTTTAAAAAGAGGTAGATGAATACAGAAATATTTTCCTATTAATATAGATATTAAAGGGGCCAGACTTTGTCGTAATCTGCCCATCCCCAATAGATAGCAAGGCTCCTTTTGTACTTCAAAGGTTTTATTACACATTCCCCAGCCCTGAAGAGGGCAGTTGAGAAAATGGTGATTAGGAACACATTGCCTCAATGCTACAGCTTGTTTCCCATTTTGTGCTAAGCCATGTTATGGTCTAGTTTGGTTCCCCCCCCCCCACTTTTACCTAATGTAGGAGCATAAGGATTGTGAGGTGTAAATTTTATTTTGCACCTTAGCATTAATTGTGATCCATACTGCAATGGCTGCTTTGACAAGCTATGATGAAAACAAATTATATCTTGGAGGAACCTTTGTGAATTCAGCCAATATGGTAATTGAGAATCTGAGTATGCAGAGGTATAACCAGCCAATGGAGCGCAGTTCATGTGGGATCATGGAGAATTTCATCTGCTCACAAATAGCACTGCAGGCATCACATTGAACCACAATAGGATGGGCAGGGCCAGGAATGTTTCTATTCTATCATCTGTCTGTCTGTCTGTCTGTCTGTCTGTCTGTCTGTCTGTCTATCTATCTATC